GTGTGTGTGAGAGAGAGAGAGAGAGAGGGAGAGAGAGAGAGAGAGAGAGAGAGAGAGAGAGAGAGAGAGAGAGAGAGAGAGTGACGTTTACATGCGTGCTGTTTGAGTGTGCGCTTGACAGGGACGGTGTGTGTGCTTGCATCCGCATGTGCGAGAGCATAGCAAGCTGTCGGCCGCCTAACCAACTGCGCCCGGCACTGGGTGGCCGTGCTCAGTACGATGGGGGCGCTGTGATCTGGCTCTCTAAGGAAACTGTTTGCGCCACGGTTGGGGGTGCAGCAGTCCTAGTTGGAGCGGGTGCTGCGGCGAATTTTGTGGCATTCAAAATGCAAGACTCCTGAAGAGCTTGTGAGTGCATGTGTGACTGAGCGTGCACTTTCGTGCGCGTGTGTTTGTGTATGTGTGCTTGTGTGTGTGTGAGCATGTGTGCACGCGTGTGCGTACGAGTTTATGCGAGTGCGTGCATGCCCGCCCACCTTGGCGATAAGCCCCGACACAAAGGCCTGGTCGTGGATGGGTTCCGCCCACAGGGGCCCGCCCATGAGGTACCGCGCCCCCGTCTCGGGGCACTGCTGCGGCACCGCGGGCCCGTGGGCGGGCGTGTACTTCACGCCCCCGCCGCGGGTGTCCACCTGCGGGGGACGCGGGAGTTTTGAAGGCCGCCTTCAATTCCGCCACACAGCAGCCCTGAACAGCTCCAGATGATTAACAACAACAACAGCGCCGCGCTGCAGGGCTTACAAGGGGGTCTCCTCGCTGGGAATCAGCGCGATTTGACCCACTCGGGCGCCCCATCGCAGGCGACGCAAGCCGCACCGGCGCCAGAGGGCTGGCACTCGAGCGGGCCTCGCGGCCAGGGCTCGGTGCGGTGCGGTGCGTTGCGGGGGGCGGGGGCGCGCACCTCCCCGACTCGCTGCAGCACCCAGCTGTCGCAGCCCTGGCTCTGGTAGACGTAAGCCAGCTTTGAGGCGCTGCGCTTGACGGTGCCCGCGGAGGTGTGGATCCTGGGGGGAAGGGGCGGGGGTGCGCGCGAGCGGTGTGTGTGTGTGTGTGTGTGTGTGTGTGTGTGTGTGTGTGTGTGCGCTTGTGAGATCCAACAAGGACGAAAACCAAAGAGAAATCGAGCGAGGCGATGTATGTCTGTGTCTACGATTATGTGTTTGTCCTGCGAGGCGCAAGCGGTCGCCCAGCCGCGCGCCGCGCGAGGCGGCGGCCGCGGCCCGTGCAAGGCGGGCAGCGCGCGGAGCGCAAGCCGCGGGGCGGAGGGGGCCGTGTGGAAATCCCAGGGAGGGGTCTCTTCAAGTAGGGGGAAGGACAGCCGGCAAGGGAGGGTGCGGTGGGGCCGACGTCTGTCAGTTTCAAGGTAGGGTCGCACCTGACAAACACGCGGACGTAAAAGTCGATGCTGAGGGAGAGGATGGGGGTGATGTACCGCTTGTACCTGCGATGGCACGACAGGGGCGGGGCGTGATGCTGCACATGATGTTCATTGTGCTGAATGCTTTGATCGCTTTGTGTGTGTCGGGTGTGGGGGTGCGCATGTGTGTGTGTGTGTGTGTGTGTGCGCGCACATACACGTGTGCGAGAAGTCTGCCCGATTGTCATCACGCGAAAGCCACAGCGCCGCCGGGCCGCCGGCTCGCGCTCCCGCCCTGCTAACCCCCCTCCCACCCTCCGCCAAGCTGCCGCGACCGTCCCCGCGCCCGCAGCCGCCTGCAAGCGAGCGCGCGCCCCGCCGCACCTGTTGGCATGCTGCTCGATGCAGGCCAGCAGGATGCGTACCGCGCTCTCGTGGCAGTACGGCCGGTGGATGGGGTAGCTGCCGTACTTGGTCCAGCACACCTGGCAGAGGGCGGTACGCGGCAGGCGGCGCGCGGGTCGGTGAGGGGGCGCCGCCGCCGCCGCGGGAACAGCGTCGGCCCGTGGGCCGACCCTGGCGCCCCAGGCGTCCCACCCAGCGTCGCGGCACCCCGTGCAGCCGCGCCCTCGCCGCCGACCGAGGCACACGGAATTCAGCTGCCGCGCCCGTGGACCCGGCCGGCGCCCCGCAGCCGTGCGGCGCGGCCGCCGCGTGGGCCCAGGTTGAGGCGGCCAATGAGGAGGGGGGGCGCGCCCGCTGGGGGGGTGGGGGGGAGGGCGCACCTCGCCGCTGTTGCCGCAGAGGACGGCCATGTCTGTGGCTGTCACCATGAGCAGCCCCCCCTCGCTGACGGCCTGCACCGCGCTGTCCAGCAGGTGGGCGGGGGTGCCGTAGGGGTCCAGGTCGATGGCGTCATACACCTGGCGGGATGACGCGCAGGGGTGGGAGGTGGGAGGGAGGGGCAGGTGGGCGATGTGCTGAGCGCGTGTAGAGGTGTGTGCGTGTGTGCGTGTGTGCGTGTGTGTATGTATGTGTGTGTGTGGTTTTGTGTGCAGCTGGCAGGCGGGTGAGACGCACCTCGGCAGCCGCCAGGCGCTGCGAGGCCCCCACCCTCAAAAAGGCCCCCCCTCCGCCCGGAACCAGCGACGCCGCCCCGCTTGTTGTTTTCGCGTGCAACAAGGGTTTGCACAACCCCCGCACGGCTGCGCGGCCCCCACCTGGTGGCTCTTGAGCATGATGAGCCGCGCGTCGTCATTGAACGTCTGCACCTTGGCCTCCGCCGCGCCGCCGTTGAATTCAATGTTTGACCGCATCGTCTCGACGACAGCAGGGTCAAGATCGTTCGCGTCGACGCGCGCGACGCCGTCCAGCTCGAGCGCATACCTGATTGACCGCAGCCCCGACGCGGCGAGGCCCTCCAAGATGCGAGCGCCGCCGCCTGAGAAGGAGTCCGGCGCGGCGGCCGCCGCGGCGGCCAGGGCAGCCGCCGCGGTTACCTCCGAGCTGTCGTGCGGCGCCGCCGCGCCCGCGTCGCCGCCGGCGCCGTTGGCGCCGCCGGGGGAGGCGGGCTTCTTGGCGGCGGCGGGGGCGGGGGGCGCGCGGGCCGCCTTGGCCTTGCTGCGGCGGAGGGCGCCGCTGGCGATTTCGGCGGCGCGCATGGGCAGGAAGGAGCGGAGGACAGCCACTGACAGGTCCCGGTTGGTGACCTGTTTACATGTGGGCCGTGGATGAGGCGCACGGGTGACATGGGGGCGCGCAGGGAGGGGCGAGGTTGCGCCGCACAGCC